AAAAAAAAAAAAAAAAAAGCATACATACAATATCTAGATACCTATGATAAGGCTGTAAAAGGCTTGACGGCTCAAGCAGAAGCAGCCCCTTGGGTGAAGCTGGGGCAGAGTGCTTGGGAGAACCGAAGAACCACCCTTCTGTGTACACCATGAAGCTTCCTCTCTTCCCAAGGAACGTGCTCCCTTTTCAATAATAAAATATCTCACCTACTCAAGAGGCCCAAGGAGTGCTGATTACTCCACTGAAATTTTTTAACCAAACTGGTACCATTTTACAATTGAAAGGCTTGGGGGTAAGGAGAGGAGTGGGAAAGGGACAGGAAGCCACCTACACTGAGTCATCTGTTTCCCACTAGCCAGCCTGGTTTAAATCTGACAACTTGGTTGTCAACTTTTTAACGGTCACAGAATTAATTTTTAAATCCGTTTGCCTTCCAATCATTCTTGAACAAGTTATCAAAACAGAAATGACATTAAAATGATACTTCTTTAAGAAAAATTTTCCTATTAAGAATGTTCAGAGCTCTGTAACCATACCAGAAAACAGAAACAAAACAAAAACCAAGCAAATACTTAAAACCAATTCGTACAAAATTGGCTGCAGGTAGGAAACTTACGTTGAGATACATTAAGAGACTTACAACATCACTTCCTAAAAGGTACCCACGTTTTGGCTATGTTGCCACCTAATGACATCAGAGATTTTACTTATCCCTTTACTTAATCATAAAAAGAATGAAAGTCCGAGGAATGCGTCCATGTCCGAGCTCTCCCTGGCTCCCACCACTGGAGGTGCTGATGGCATGTTCTGGGGCTGAGGGGTGCTGCAATCTTTCTAACGTGGCATGGCAGATGGGTGCCGGAGGATTTATTTTCTCCACAATCTCCCACTCTCAGTTTACGATAGTGCAGTTCATGGAAGCGGCCTGTCGGGTAGGTGCACGCAGATCAGATGACCGCTAGGTTGAGAAGACTGGTGTGGGTGGGGAGATAGACGTGCTGGACGTGTTCCACCCGAGACCTGCACACAGGACACGACTGCAAAAGAGAAGCCAACAGAACCTGTTAAGACGCCTTCAGTCTGTATCTGCAGTGTTCACCTGTGGCACACATGACATTCTGTTTTCTAAATAAGCTGTGGTCACAATTATTTCTAACTTTCAGCTGGTAGAAATCTTTGCTTTCCAACCAGTCTGGAAGTTTATACTTTACAAGGGATTCAAAACAAATATTATGAAAAAGGGTAAACTGAAGGAAATGAATGGGGCTTTCTGTCTAGCCCTGAACAAGGCACAAAGAGTAAAGCGGCTCCCAAAGACTTCTTGCTGCGCGAGGAGGCTGCCGTCCTCACACGGGCAGATGGCGATGCCTCGATGCAGGGGGCTCTCCCGAGGCTGTGCTGCCCCGGGGCTGACGCCGGCCAGCCTCAGTGGCTCGATGCCACGTGGCCAGCGGTGTGGCTCTGCTCCTAGTCCCAGGCTGCAGTAATTGGGGCTGGCGGGCTTCTCAGTAAGTGGCCCTTCCTCAGCCACAAAGGGGCCTTAGNCACGGCCCTTCCTCAGCCACAAAGAGGCCTTAGGAACAAGGGCGGAAAAAGACAATTCCAGGACCACTCCTGGGGAAACAACTTGTCACAGTAGCGTGATCTACTTAAGGACAAAGGCATTCTGTTGGCTGATTATGTAGCTCTCAAAACAGCCCCGAAATGAGCACTTTCAGAAGGTCCAGATGTTATTTAGGGCAAGTTTTATATAAAACCATAGCAAAATTTAGCAAATGGTCCTGGGAAATGAAAAAGGATTTAAAAAAATATCCTAAGAGGAAATGTAAGATGCAAGAAAGGAAAAAAATACTATATATGTGTTGCTCTTATTTTTCGTATTAATACTAAAATTAGTTTGCCTTGCTAAGTAAGAGCCACTCCACGATGCCCCTAGAGGCAAATGCAGTAATAAGAGGAAATTAATTATAAATAATCACAGAGTAAACAACCTGTGGGTGATTGAGAGTTAACTATAATCCAAAACTCTAAGTGTTCTTTCCCAAATATTTTAAGTAAAGACCACCATTTCAAGTATCAGCAAATGGGAGGCAACGTGACATGGAAGAGGAAGTCCTGGACCACTCTCGAAGGCCGGGACTCCAGCCCTTGGCTGAGCCACTAATCAGGCCCTCACCTTGTGAATCTGAGCCTTGCTTCCAGCACCTGAGAAAAGCCTAGGGTTTAGAGTAATTACATTGTTGAAAATAGTACCCTAATCCAAAATGTTTTGAAAGGGCAACACCTTTCAAGTCACCGAATACAAAGACCCTTCCAGGTGCAGGTGGACATTCCCAGTTTGTGCCTTAGTGAGCCGGCACCTGGCAGGTGGCAGGAGCTCACTAGGACCTGGAGGGGTGTGAGGCTGCCGGGGAGCAGCCAGCGGACCCTCACCTGGAGCTGGGCGGCGCAGCTCTCACAGCACACGGTGTGGCCGCAGGGGCAGAAGGCCGAGTTGATCTCCTCCTCGCAGCACAGCATGCACAGCATGGCCTCCTTCAGCTTGCGCAGCTTCTCCTGCAGCACCCGGGTCTGCTGACAGCTGAGGCCCTCGCAGCTGCTGCAGTTCATGCTGCTCTCCGAGGACTTCAGGGGAGAGCGTGGGGGGCTGTGCTCGCTCCTGGAGACCAGGTCCACCACGCCGGCATTGTACAGAGCCCTCCTGGCGTGGTCATACACCTCCTTCGACGTTCTCTTAATATCGAAGACATACTTCTTGCCCAGGTTAATGTTCTCATTCAGAAACAGAGATGCCAAGTGGCCCTTCAAGTCTCGACTATACTGCATCATGACGGCACTGGTCACCGTGTCACACCTACGGGGGAGAGGGAACAGCCTCCTTAACACTGACAAGCCTGCCATTCCTGAGATCTGGACGGTCAAACACTGCTGTGGTAGGAATATATGCGTCAGCAGACATTTATATTCCTATTTGGAATCCTGAAAGCATATTCCTCCAGTTTCTCGTGTTAAGGATTTCAATGATTCTCTGATAAAGCAGCCATGAACGTCAGGGACAGTGAATGTCCCCTCCACCTGCAAGGACATGAGTGATAGACCAAAGCAGCCTGTAGCACGAAAAAGGGCATTTTTCTTTGGAGTGTTGGTTTTATGTTAAAAATTTCTACGAACTTTCCACTCTGTTCCATAATTTGTGTGTCTATTTTAGCATAAAAAAGGTCCAACTGCCTGCCAATTAAATTTCTTAGCTTTAATTTTCCAAATATTTGCACGAAACCACAACTCTACTTTAAACGAGAGTATCGAAATTGTTATTAAAAAACCCTTACAATGTAGTGAGGATTCAGGAGAGCAGCTCTGCCAGAAAGGAGAGAGGACTGAGGTCATCCTGCTTGGAAAGGGCAAAAGGCAGCACCACCAGGGGGAGGAGGTGCTGTGGGGAGGCGGGGAGGGGTAAGCTGGGACGGTTTCTGTGCAGCCCGTATGTATGCCCTTTCTGCGGCAAAAGCGTGATGACGTTGCTAAGGACCCCACTGCTACAGCAGAAGTGAAGTGTTCAAAGCGCTTTTTTCTTTACTTCGCTACAGGATTTACTGACGCAACACCACCGGAAAGTGTGGGAGCCTCTCGTCACCTGAAAACCTTAGAGCTGAGGGTGGACGCTACGGTTACCAGCGGTACGTGCCTGTAGAAAGCATGCGTCTCCGTGATTGCTCGGTAGAGGCCGCTGGCGGCCCTGGTGCTGATCATCTTAAACAGGAGCACGATGCTGTTCCCAGACTCCTTGGTCACGGTCAAGTACACATTCTTCCCGGACTGGGTAGCCATCTGCACTACGGGGTACGCTATCCTGAAAGACAGAGAGAACAGTGAGCACGCCCAGCCGAGGGCAGCTTTAGGAGATTCTCGTGCTCAGGACCCGGCGAGAGAACCAGATGCTCCTCCAAGCACCTGGCTTCCTAGATAAGAGGGCCCACTGAAAAGCAACCGTGGGCCCACGGAGAGGGGCGGAGCAAGTTTCGGGGGGTGTGTGTGTGTGTGTGTGTGAAAAAGGGGTTTTTATATCAGTGAATGACTTATTTGAAGAAACAGTAAGCCTGCCACATCGATTCACTTTAGTATTTTAAAAAAAGAAACGATTAAAGCCTGAATACAAGGAATGGGTGCGCCAAAATGGAACGCTGCACTGAAAGGGTGACTGCCTATTTTCACGGCTAGAGCTACGAATGAACCAACACACATACGGAGGTTTAAAAAAATTTAAGACTTGGGTTACCTATTAATTGGGCTAAAGTCATCTTTACAAATTGAGATTCCTTCAGGTCCAACCCCAATGAGGAGCTTCTGCCCTTCGCTGTCCCTCACAGAGTGCCATTCTATGCCGTAGTTTTCCATGGCCGAGACGATCTGCAGGACTTGGTATTCAGCCGAGGCCTGGCTGGTCCCCTCCAGCTCCTTATGTTTTGTGATAATGCTGGAGGACACCAAGAGGACAAAGAGGTGTAAAGAGAGATTAACGTATGCAGCCTTTAGCGAGAAATCTTTATCATTTTCACTAGTGAATTCCACTGACACTGTCATTTATGAATCACAATAACTTAAAGCTATATATTACTGCTGTTTCACTTATTTAGCAAACTTACTGTAAAATACTTCTAAGACACCAATCAAAATCTCGACTATTAAATAGTCAGTAGAAAGACTTTGGGGATGCTGGAAGAGGGTGAATTGGAAGAATGATGAAAATCTTTAAAAATACATATAAGAAATTTATATGTAGGAATTTCTCATGTATTTGTCTACATTTGCTTTGTAAATTTCATTAAAACAGCACTATAAGGGATTGATTAGCCTGTTTGTAACTGAAAAAAAATGCAGGATTTATTTTATCTATTGTGGTGGGCGTCCTCTAATCTACTCCACCTGCTGCTCTCATCCTTGGAAATGTCCTTCACTTGAGTGGGGCTGGATTAATGACTTGCTTCTAATGAGCAGAAGAAGGCAGAAGTGATGGGATGTCACTCGCTTCTGAAATTAAGTCATAAAAAGATTGTGACTTCCATCGTGGTGTTCTCTCTTGCTCTGTCTGACTTGGACTGCTTGTCCTGGGTGAAGCCAGCTACCCCATAATGAAGAAACCCCATGGAGAGGCCCAAGTGGTGCGGGGACAAGGCCTGCCAATGAGCCACATGAGTCAGCCTGGAAGTGGATCCCTCCCTCCTCCAACAGCTTGACAGCAGCCTTGTGAGAGATCTTGAGCCTGAGAACCCAGCCAGCCACGACCAGATTCCTGACCCACAGAATTGTGGGATAATGTCTGTTGTTTTAAGCCACTAAGTTTCGGGGTAACTTATTACTTAAAGAATAGGTAGCTAAGACACGTATGTTAGGTTTCTTGGTTTAATCCTCACTGGGATAAAGAACATTCCAGTATACATGATAGGCTTTGAAATTTAGAAGATTTGTAACCTTAAAAGGTCAGAGATTTTTAAAACTCCTGTTATACAGCATTTCATATAAGGGCATTTATTTGTGTAGATTATGTGTTGTGTTTATAGGTTTCTCAAAGGCAAGGCTAAGAATCTTTTGAAGATAACTGGTTAAACTGGGCAATGGCCTAGTCTTAACCTCACAAATTATCTATATATACCATAGATTCATTTTCTTCTGGAAATTCCTATAAATTTGCTAGGTCAGTGGGTATAAACATCAGCCTTAACTGCAGGCTCACCTGTTCAAGGCTGCATTGGAGAGCTCCTTTGCACACAGCTCCTCGTAGCTGTACTTGGCGGTGTTCTGGTTGTAGTCTCCAAACTTGGTCTGGGCCAGGAGGGCGCTGAGCTCCATGGCCTGCTCTGGGGAGCACTGGAGGTGGCCGGCCAAGAGGGCCTCCTTGATATGCAAGAAAAAGATATGCCTACGAAGCAATGCAAGAATCAGGTTACGCTGGAAACTACTGTGATATCAAACTCAACCTGCTTAGCATTTTCACAATCCCTTTTAAGGAAAACAGCAATTTAAAAAGCCACCCTTAAAATGCTTACATTAAAGAAACTTTTTAATTACGAGTATTCAGGCAAAATAAGTCTAAAGACTAAGTTTCTCTGGAATAAAATGTATAACCCAGACAAAAACAAATCTAAGTTCAGTAACAGTCAAGTTACAAAATGTGAGATAATTACACCCAAGTTTCTGCATTATAATTTTTGAAATTACTGGAATCGGAAAAAACTTTATCTTGATATAGAACTGGTATCTTAAGATCCTCACCTTTATTCAAATGACCCTCAAATCTCTACTTTCAGCCCAAACTTCTCTCCCAGGAATCGGATTCGAATGTTCAGTTACCTGTAGCTTTCTCCACTGGGATACTTTCCAGTATCCCAGTTTAGCTCATTCAAAACCAAGCTCACTGTCCGCCTTCCCAAGCCTGCTTTTTCTCTCAGTGGAAACCACAGTCTGATTTCTTATTTTCCCCAATAAACTCACTTTTGACAATTCATCTTATTTCCACCTACTTTCTATTTCTGAAAACCCTTTCAATCCAGCTCTATTCTTCCCACGTTTACCTCCTCTACCCTTCTTATACCTCCAAACTGTCAGAGGCTTTATAATATCCTCTAAGCTGATCTCTCTGCCAGACTCTGTGCTGATCCACTTTCCCAGCTGCTTGCTTCTGGTCCATACTTGCCATTTCTCTGCTAGAATCCTGCAAGGGATCCCACTGTTTCTGAAAAAGCACGCCGTCAGCATGGACCCAGGCTTCTCCACCCTCTGGCACCCACCTTTCTAGCATATCTCCTGTCATCCCCTCCAGCCCCTATGCCCAGGGAAAGGGACAATTCCTCTCCCTGAATAAAACCAGCACGTTCATGCCCCTGTGGCTGGTCTCACTGCTCCCTCTGTCCTGAAGGCCATTCTTTCTGACCCCTCACTTAGCTGCCCTTTCATCTACATCGCACACAAACTGTTGATTCCTCTATTATGGTATCTGACATATTCTAACTTCTCAAGTGCCTCTAATATCAGAGAGCTCCGTAAGCATAAGTAAAACTGTATACTGTCAGTAATTAGTTTATATGCATTCCCACTTTTGTTTCATTCCATTTGACCTGCCCTAATTGTATATACTAGTATATTCTACATTTACTAAAAGGTCTGCCTTACTCAGAAACTCCTGGAAAACTTCAGGTATTGTTGCCTGCCAATCTGCATTGCCCAAGATTCTCCAGAGAGCATATGAATGTCCGCAGACAGACTGGCCTAGGTTATCAAATTTAGCAAATGTGTAGGTATAACTTTTCTTTGATGACTTGTTATAGCCTCTCAAACATGCTTAAATGAGCCCAGCTAGGCGTGGCTCAGCAGTTGAGCATCGACCTAGGATCCAGGAGATCCCGGTTCGATCTCCGGTCAGGGCACATGCCCAGGTTGCGGGCTAGATCCCCAGTCAGGGTAAGGAGGTAGCTGATCAATGACCACTCTCATCATTGATGTTTCTCTCTCTCTCCTTCCCTTCCTCTCTCTGAAATCAATAAAGATAATATATATTTTTAAAAAAAAGCTTAAATGACACAATATTCCTTCCATTAACCAATAAGTTACAACCACTGGTACAGCTCTAAACGCTATTCTGAAAGGAGCTCGAAGATCAGCTCCCCACTTCAGCCGGATCCTCCATTCCAGTCCTCAACAACACTGCTTTTATTCATATACTAGTCTGTGTTGACGTTGCAGGTAGAGGGGACAATAAGGCACGTGAGAAACGGAAGGAGAAAGTGAGGCTAGAAATACAAGGAGGGGCTCTATTGAGAGTCTTGTCAGGCTGACAAGAGCCATTAATCTCCCTTCAAGAGCTGTTTAAATTTAATGTTTCATGCCTTCTATAATGACAGAGAAATGTTTAAAATGATCAGGCTCTGCCAAATACTACAGGTTTTTTCCTTTACTCAAAGTCCCTGTGAAGAAATCACAGTAAGAATGCATAATAGCAATGAAAAAAGATAAGCCTGGTTTTTATTAACCCAAACATCTGCTAGTCTTTAAAGTATTTCTGACATACTGCTAAACTGAGAAGGGGGTCCCTACTGGGGCAAAGAAATAACCACAAAAATAACTGGCTTTAAAACAGCTGTCTGAGGACCGAGGCCCACCATCCCCATAAAATGTGGGTGTCACACACTGCTTCGGCCCTGTAAAGGCTCTTTAGACGACCATTCAGTAAACTTCACCGCAGTTAATGCACCTCTGGTTCCTGTATTCATCAGGGGGCGTGTGAGGAGAAAACGAGATCTGAATACATGCCTCCGTTAAAGAAGAAATGATGTGCTGAAAGGTTGTAAGGGTATCACCACAAGCTAACTCTTATCTACTTAATTACCACTTACGGGACAGTGTCTTTGAAGTTATTTACCAAGTATCAAGCTAGAGCCTAGTTTCTGCTTTACTAAAGAGCAAGTACAGCTTGCAAAGGAGCTTCAAAATCGATCCAATTTCTTTTTCCAAACTATGCATGGCTACTTCTGAAGAGACAGCTGCCAAAACCAAAGGCAAAGCAGCAGGAACAAAATATTAACAGGTGGTCAGCGACCCAAGAGTAATGCTGATCCCTTCAAAGCCTGTGGGTCAGAATTAAAAAAGGGGACAGTGCCCAGCCGGGCGTGGCTCAGCGGTTGAGCGTCGACCTAGGATCCAGGCGATCAGGGTTCGATTCCCGGTCAGGGCGCATGCCCGGGTTGCGGGCTTGATCAACGACCCTCTCATCATTGATGTTTCTATCTCTGTATCTCCCTCTCCTTTCCTCTCTCTGAAATCAATAAAGATATATTAAAAAAAAAAAAAAGG